AGGATGAAAAAACCCATAGTAGGTGGGACGAAAATTAATCGGTGAGCGGAGACTAGCAACTAAGACATTAATAGTATTGAGCAACTGATTTTTAGCAAATCCATTACAATAAGCTTGTTGTAATAAATTGTACTGAATACTCTCCCCGTTTCCAAATATAAATCTTTTTAGAGATTCCAACAAATCACTACATACAAAGTAAAATGAGTGAATCTACACTCTAAAATATATCTATATACATCCGTATATTGTAGTTCATATGAAATATCTAAAAAGACTTATATTTACGAAGGGAGGGAGTATATTGTAGGAGTACTACATTTATTGTTACAATAAAATGTCGGAAGGGATATTTCTCTTTTGTACGTTGTATTCCCTGAGTGGGCGGATGCAGTTGGATTGAAGGATTACCGGCCCATTAATCTCATCCACATCTTTACCAACTGGTAGCGAACGCCGCGACTATTTATCGCTTTCAGCCATTCCACCGAAACTCTCCCGTCTAGATTTTGGCGGTCTTGATCATTACTGGACCGGCCCATTTCGTTCACTGTTAAATAAAAAGAGAAGGAAAAGGGCAGCATGACGGATTGAACATATAGGACTCAGGGATGAAAGAAAGCGCTACTAGCACTAGTAGAAAAAGGACCTATAATCCCGGTTTGTAAAGGCCATTAGTCCCGGTTTTTGAACCGGGACTAAACTGTTGGTACTAATGCCCTATACCTTTAGTTCCGGTTCTTGCATAAACCAGGACAGATGGGCCTCCACGTGGTCGGTGCGGCGAGCCCAGGCAGGAGGTCCTTTGGTCCCGGTTGGTGGCACCAACCGGGACCAATAGGCATCCACGCGTCAGCATTTCAGGTGCTGGGGTTTTTGTTTTTTTTAAGGGGGGGGGGGGTTTAGGGGGTTTTGGGGGGTTAATTTAGGTGTTTCATATATTGTCTTAGCTAGCTAATTAATAGAGAGAAGTATCCTCTCTTATCTCCGTGCTTGGTCGACGCTACGTACTATACGTATAGAGATGACTAGACACGCTAGCTAGTAAGCAAATGAAGGAAACAGAAGATCGTCATGAACATATGCATATAGAAAGAAGTGATGTCGAACAACAAGTTCTCGTATATCTATTCGATGCTACGTACTGGCTTCATATATACAATATAATTATCTCTTACAATATAATCTCCTAATTCCAAATGAACTCAGGGTCCACATGGTATTCTCCGTCTTTAGCCATCACGTGGTCAAGAAAGAATGCCGCCAATTCCTCTTGAATTCCACGCATACGATCTGGTGGTAGGAGTTCATCCCGCATCCGAAATATCTAATTTGAAGAAGGGGGTCAATACATATATATGAATAAATGAAACTGAACACAAATGATGGTAATAAAATAAAATTGTGAATATTATTATTTACGCACTTCATATTGTTTGTCAGAATAGCCCCACACACAGGTCGTGTGGCGGATGGACTCGCAAATGTAGTATCCACAGTAATCATTCCCTTGTTCCTGCCACAACCACTTTACAAGAAATAGAGGTCAATCAAACTGATAATTAGCAAGCATGCTAAATGGTATTGATGAAACTAGCGCTTGAATCACTAGGAGATGCGTGGAACATGCTACTATAGTACTTACTTTCGAGTGTCTAAATTGCAGCTTCTTCGGCAGTCCCGGAGTTTTTGAGGTGAATTTTTTCCAAACCCTGCTAGCAAACAAAGAAAACAATTACTTGATATCAGGAAATGAACAAAGTTGCCGATATGGTGCGATAATGATCGATTTAACTTACTTTTTTTAGAATTTCAGTCATGTCTGCATACTCCTTGGGATCTTTTCGTCTCGAGTCTAAGACGGTTACTAGTCCCTGCTCAAGCTTAATCTCTAGGAGAATATAATGGAAGTTGTGCACGCATGCATAACTCATCAATTACATTACTATTATAACCTTGACTAATAAGGGAAACCGAATATGCAGAAGACAGTAACACTCACTTGAATTCGTAAGGTAAGAGTATTATAGCTTTGTTTTGATTTAATACAAACGATTTTAGCAGCTTGGCCTCGGTTTCTTTGGCATGAGATTTAACCATATATGCATCTATGAGATTTGTGTTAATGAACCCAATATCACCGATTTGTCGTTTCTTCAATTCGGCGATCTTCAATCTGCATAATATAGTGAGGATAATTAAAAATACATGCAATGAAAGAGCTGACCTATATATAGAGACTTAATGACAGAAGTAGTATTGTACTTACATGCAGTAGCAAGTGATCATTAATTTATCGAGGGCCCTTAGATTGAAAAACGCGAAGAACTCCTCAAATGGAACATTCAACAGTTCAAGTCCAATGAGGTCATGCTCCTCTCTGACTCTCAGTGTCAAAATATTGCTCCCCTCAGACTCTCTGTAGGTTTTCATGTACCAATCATGGAATCTGAACATCATCGTTGGTAGAGATCTTTCATCTTTGAGGAGAGGCTTCCCGTACACG